CACTCTTTTTAGCTCATCTGTTAAGTTTTTTTATCTTGTAATATGTTATTTTAATGAAAATCCTAAAATAGAAGAGATTAAAAGGGAGTTTTTTTAAAGTAGAGGGATAAAAGAGGAATTTTTTAGTGAAGTAAAGAGACTAAAAATAAGCTTTTTGCTAAAATAGAAAAACTAAAAAAGGATTATTTTTTAGTTTTTTTGGTTTCTATATTTTGAATTTTGTCATCTAACGTGTTATATATGTAAAACTTAATATAGAGATTAAAAATGAGTTAGATTTCAAATTTTAAGGACAAAAAATTAGATTTTTTAAGTAGATGGATTAAAAACGAACTTTTAACTAAAATAGAGGGACCAAATGGGAATTTAACTTAATAATTACCCTATTTATTCCAATAAAAAATGGGAGTTACATGACCATAAATTTGGCTAAACCCCTTATTTGCACCCTCCAATTATATTATTTCCGTAGTCAACACCTTCCAAAATTTTTCTTCCTTATTCACACCTTTCACTTTTTAAAACATAAATTTGAGCTCATGGAAGGATTCAAATCCAGGTAATTGCTTTTGTGTTCCTCGTGGAACCCAACCTCCATGGAAGAACAATCTTTTAATTCATTTGCAAGAAAATTTAAGAACCCATCAAAGAATCAAATCATCATCTTATTATTCTATCAAAACTAAAAATAATCACAGAAAAGAAAGGCAAAAACAAAGTACAAACTGGGTTCGACGAGGAACCCAGCCCTGGGTTCCTCACGATGGAACCCAATTCTGGGTTCTTTGTCATGAGGAACCCATCAAGTTACTCGACGAGGAACCTAGAGAGGAACCTAGATCGGGTTCATTGTGAAGAACCCAGATCAAGTTCCTCGTTGGACCCGATCTTTGTTTTTTTTTGGTTGGGAGGTTTTCACATAAAATTATGCCATGTTATCATCATAAAAAAATTGTCCATATTAGATAATAATATCACATAACGCCTACATCATTATTTGGATGCCATGTAATACATTTTTTAACGGTTATTAACGAGATCGTCACGGTCCGTTAAAATATTAAATTTTTCACGGGTTTTGAAAAGTGGAAGATATAAATAAAAAGAAAAAATTTTGAAAAGTGTTGACCTATAAAATGATATAAATGGATGGTGCAAATAAGGGCTTTGGCCTCATAAATTTTATCAATAAGATGTGCTATTTGCTCAACTAAGTATGTTCCTCCATATTCTCTTATTTTTTTTACCTTACTTTATTTTTGACATATTTTTGGTAAAAAATGATGTTTTGAAGTAAATGACTTCATAGATATTGCAAAGTTATAAAGTATTATTATAAAACTGTAACATTATAAGAGCGACATGTTATGTATATCTCTATTACACATGTTGATTTACTCAATGCAAATACATGAATCACTTTAAAATAAATAAATTTTTCACGTCTTATTTAGTGGTATTTTATTATTTATATTTTTTAATAAATTTATTAATTATTATTTTATTTG